GCTCGCCGGCCTGACGACCTACGGCACCCTCCCAGGACGCCCAAAGCCCCTTTTCTCCCACTGTCCTCCCGCTCAGCCTCGCCACCCTCACTCCTTACCCGCTCTTCTCTCTCTGCGGTGACTCCCACCCAGAGGAGTCAAACACCAGGATGGGGTCCCCCAGGGTGTGGATGCCCAAAGAGCGTGGAAAAGGAGCGCCTATCGTCAGCCACATGCTGAGTGCAAGGAGCAAGGGGTGTGAGAGCAAAAGATTTTACATCTAACCAAACTGAAGAAAAAAAAAAAAAAAAGAAAGAAAGAAAAAAACACGAAACTGGTCCTTTCAATGGGAAGGATAAAGTCATCCGACAAAAGGAACTTCTGTTTTTACAATAGACGAACATTGTTCTTTGAAATTAACCGAGGAGGTTATTTGTACAATTCTGTTCTGTGGATAATCTTTTCTCAGCCGTAATCTTGCTATGATTCTGATTTTTTGTTTCTGCACATTTTCATTTTATGTGTAATGTTCTACATTGTATTAAAAAGATTTGACGATCTTTGAAACTGCAGTATAGTACATACAGCGCTTTGTCATTGAAGACTTTCCTCCCCTATTGGTGGAAATCTTACTGGGATAATCGGGGTGTTTTCCCCTAAATTCCATAGAATTAATTTGTCAGTAAGACTGGAAAATTGTGTTTAGTTCCCAATACTACTATAGAATTGTTTTCTATCAGTTGTGAAACTGAATGATTAAAACATATAATTGTTGCTGTAATACAGCAAAACCAAGTTAGGATGAAAAATAAGCAATTGGGGGGGGGGAAGATTAAAAAAAAAGTACAAACCCTATATAGCAGGCTTTTGATCATGAAAGTACAGAATCTGTTGAAAAAGACCTCAGACTTTAACTTAAAGATGTTAAACTGTGGCAGAGAAGGGCTTGGTGATTTGAGTAATTTGAGTAAGTCACATTGCTGCTTGTATTGGGACCCCAGAAGTGGTGACTCAATTTATATGAACAAAGCAAACACATACACTTTTTCAAGATAAAAACATATTCCATGAAAATCTCATCTCAGTCCCTTCCTAGTGGTACAGCGCATTAAAGCACAGCACCGCAGGCTGACCACAGCCGCTTCAGTGTAAGTTCCATCCTCTCCCCTGAGGTGAACCACATGGCATGGCAGACCTCTCCTCACCTGACCGCTGCTCCCCTCAGCAGTGTACTTGTTAATCTGCCTGCTCTGCTCCCCACTGTCTCTGGGGAATCCTCTCACTGCCCCTGCACCTCTGTACCCCAGTTCTGTATGCATAAATAAATAAAAAATAAATTTTAAGAAAGAAGTTCATTTCCTCAGAGAGGCTGTGGCCTCTTGGAAGATGCTAGCTAGGCAGCGTATATGCTGTGCCTGACCAATCTATCACCAGAGCCTGGCACACAGTAGGTGCCTGTTATGTGTATACTCTTGAATAGGTGGAAGAATGTATCTAAGGCTGGGAACAAGGTGTCAGAACAAAAACAATGACTCCTACTGACCACCCAGTTCCTGCACACTGCAACAGGGAAACTTACTAATGAAGATGGTTTTCTCTTGGCTGTTTCTCCATCACCAAAGCCTAATCACATGGAGAAAAGCTGGCAAACTGCCCATGACTGCAGCACCTAGGAGAGAATCAACCTACCTGTTGTCCATTTCTGAGTTTTTATTTTCATCAAGTTTTTTATGACTTAACTTTTGGGAAGCTTAAATACCTGTGAGGCGTGGGGCAAGGGAAATTCATATATACTTTTAATTTGATCAGTTACTAGTTTCAAAAACCTTTCAATAATGCTAATAATCATTGTACTGAATACATGTATCTCGTGCATTGTGATGAGCTCTTTTGATCCACTATTCATTGAATCTTCATAACTATCTTGTAACTACTAAGTCATCATCATCATCATCACCATCATCTCTCAGAAATGAGAATAATGTGGTTTAGAAAGATTATTCAGCTTATCCTAAACTCCACCATTAGTAAAGTAGCAGAACTAGGATTCAAATTCAATGACTCTGAAGTTGCCCCTCAAGTTTGACAAATACGCCTCCATTCTATAGCCAGATCCAGGGCCTCCCACTTCTCTTAGACAAGTGGCCTCTGGAGACCTTGCTTCTTTGCCGTTCTATAACCCGGTAGTCTACAAATGAAAACCTGTTAATCTGAAGGTTGGGTCTTTTGAATCAAGGGGATTTTTTTTTTTTAATCTGAAAGAAAAACCCCAAACCTAACCTTTATTAGGGCTAGGGGCTACTTCTAAACCTTTTATCTCACACATTGTTGCATGGTTTTATAAATGCACTGGTGCTCAGAAGCTCTTCTCGCCTGTGTTTCCTGGAAGAGGAAACAGTGCTTCCTGCAGGGTTCTACACGTGGGTGGTGAGGTTCCACCATCTATGTTAAACACACCAGCTTTCAGTTTTGTGCTTTTTCCTCCAGTTTCTGCCCTATAGTTTCCTGGAAGCATGCTGAGGGCAGACTGTGGGACAGCTGCTTGTTTCATTTCAGCTGGGAAAAATGAAATACCTGCTTTGTGTTCAGAGCTAAGGAATCAAAGATTGCCATGAATCTTATCCCTGGAGATATCACCATCATCTTCCTTCAACCTGGAATTTGCAAAAGAGTCTGAGCTATCGTTTTGCTTTCATTGCGAACTTATTTTGATGGCAATGCTCTATCCCAAAAAGGCCTCCTCTTCAACCCATCTGTGGAGGTGACCTTCTAAAAAGGAGTTAGGATAGAAATTAAAAATGAAATATGCTCAATATCAGCTTCAATTCAGAGGAAGATCAAAGTAGTTGGGGGAAAGTGGGTTATGAAAAGCCGGTCATTTGAACAAATGATTATTTAACAAGGGCACTTATGTCTCCATGGACAGTTACCACTCAGAGAACGCCAACTTGGGCAATTCCAGGAGTTTGACGACCAGCTACCCACTTTTCCAAATGCCCAAAAGAAATGTTTTTTTTTTTTTTTTAAGATTTTATTTGTGCATACAGAACTGGGATACAGGCCAGAGATGTGGAGGGTGAGAGAATTCACCAGAGACAGAGTGGAGTGCAGAACAGGCAGATCAACAAAATACACTGCTGAGGGGAGCAGCAGGCGGGTCAGGAGAGGTCTGCCATGCCATGTGGTCACCTCCGGGGCAGGCGGGAATCGAACTCATGAGGAGGCGGCTTTAGATTCTCAGTGCTGTGCTTTAACCCGCTGCGCCACCAGGGAGGGCCTGTTTTTTTTTTTTTTAATTTAAAAAATTTTTTTAAAAGATTTATTTATTTATTCATATGGAACTGGAGTACAGGACAGAGATGTGGAGGGCGAGAGGATTCACCAGAGACAGAGTGGGGGGCAGAACAGGCAGATCGACGAAGTACACTGCTAAGGGGAGCAGCAGGCAGGTCAGGAGAGGTCTGCCATGCCATGTCGGTCACGTCTGGGACTGGGGATGGAACTCATGCTAAAATGGCTTTAGCTTGTTGGTGCTGTGCTTTAACCTGCTGTGCCACCAGGGAGGGCCAAAAGAAATTGTATTGAAAGTGGTCCACTGGAATCCCAGAAGAATCAACATGGAATTAAAGAATAGTGATCTACCCTTAAGACTTGAAAAATACATGGCTTGAAGTGTAAATTCAGAAAATGCCAAAATTATTCTAGGAGCTATGGGTCAAAGGGACAGAAACACAGTCCAAAAAAGCAGATATTTTAAATTCAGTTTGGATAAGGGAAGAAAAGGGTTATTTTTCTCTTAACCCAACCTTAGACTATCAAGTGAACAAAGTTAGAAGTTGTTATTGCCAGGAGAGAGATCTAAATTCTGAATTAAGAATTTGTCCCTTTCCTCTGGGAGTAAACAGATCTTGACTAATGGTGAATAGAGTTGGTATCAACTCTTCCAAACCTTGAGGTGATATGGTGAAAGATGAAGGCAGGTTTTAGCTTGAGTTACAATGTCATAGTATCATAATATAGTTTGAGTGTTCTATTATTATCCATGCTTACTAGTGTTAACCAAATTTTAAAATCTTTTCAAGGTAGAAAAGTTATGTATTATGTCCTCATTTAAGAAAGGGATGAATGGCCCTCCCTGGTGGCGCAGCAGGTTAAAGCACAGCACTGAGAATCTAAAGCCGCTTCCGCATGAGTTCGATTCCCGCCTGCCCCGGAGGTGACCACATGACGTGGCAGACCTCTCCTGACCCGCCCGCTGCTCCCCTCAGCAGTGTACTTCATCGATCTGCCTGTTCTGCTCCCCACTCTGTCTCTGGTGAAGCCTCTTGCCGCCCCTGAGCTTCTGGCCTGTATCCCAGTTCTGTATGCACAAATAAATAAATCTTTTTTTTTTTTAAAAAAAGAAAGGGATGAATGAACATAATACTAGCTAATATTTCTTGTGTATTTACAGCAGGTTTAGTGTTAAACTTTTAATTTCATTCATTTCATCTTACTTTTACAAGAAATCCTTGAGATGGGTGATAGCCTCTTCTCTGAACAGATATGATAGCCGAGACTCAGAGGTCAAACTGGTAACTCACCAAGTTTGCTAAGCCTACAAGTAGAAGGTTATGGCTTGACTCCTAGTTTGTTGAACCCCAAATCCATGATTTTTGCCATCTTATACAGAGCAACAAGAACTGAAGTTATAGCCTGATCCTTAAAATTATAAAAACATTGTGTATGTTTATGGATGTCCTGATTAATACAGTGTTCCAACAAAAGAAACTTAAAACAAGTATACATGTGCAATTTGTAAATTATAATGCATCAAAATGCGACCATAGAAATTGAAACACAACTTAATTTTTAATGATGTAGAACATTTAGAATAGATCAATTTTTTTCCCCTAGGTATCAATTATTAT